TTTTCCAGGAAATCAAGTAGACGATAGTTCATGATTTTTTCTAAAACTTTCGAAAGAACCGGGAGAACAGAAATGGGTCTGTAATTATTCATATCATCTCTCCTACCAGTTTTGTATACAGGCAATACCTTCGCAATTTTTAATTTGCCAGGAATAATTCCACTTCTGAAAGATTTTGAAATAATTGTATGAAGAAGATAGGAGCCAATTCATATCTGACTACCTTCACAATATTATTAGTTATACATTTAATCAAATCCACAAGACTTTCGTACATCCAAGTTGTCAACAATATCTTCAATTTCCGAAATGCTGGGAGATCTTAGGAACATAGATAAAACGCTTCAATGATCTATTACTGTGTCAGAAATCAAAGTTTTTTTTGACGATACATGTGTACCAACATTGATAAAATGGTGATTGACTGCACTAGTCATCTCATGAACATTTTCAATTCTAATATCGTTTTAGTGCTATTCAGCAAAACCACAATAATTAGGTCAATATTTGAAATAAGCGAACAAAGTACAACTGAAGTGCAATGCACTTCCACCTAAGCATAATCGGTTATTATCAACAATTGGGAAATAAACTAGATTCTATCGTCAACCGTCTTTGAGTCAACATCAAAACTCACCACCACCGAAATCAACACTACATCGTTCACTGTAATATATTCAATTCTTACACGTACTCAAGAAAAACCCTGTATATACTCTTCTAATCGACGGAGAGTGGTTGTCGAATTATCAGATATAACCTCACCCAACATGACCATTCTTCCTGTACGTGACTAATGAGTCCGATACTCCCATACTTGATCCTGATCCGCCCTATTAATTCCTACCACATCACGTCCTCTAATCTGTAACTTATTGTTCGCATAGTGTAATCGTGATATCGCCGATTTCAAAGTTGTTTGGTTTGTTCAGGACTAGGTATATTTCGCCCCAGATTCCTGAAACCTCCTAGAAGTTTTGACACCTTCATTGACATAGTCATGTGAAAATGGGTCTGTTTCAGTGAAAAAGTTCATCTCATCATTAGTACTAACCCTAAAAGAATATAGAAAGATATATGAAGAGTTGGAAAGTGACCCCATCATGGGGATGCCAACGGATGGCATAATTCCAAAATATAGCTTTGAAAAAACTTTTAAAATAAGTATAACGGACAGAGAGGCATGGAAGGAAGGACCTCCTATCAATGCAGACATTGCTGTCTATACGGATGACTCCAAAACTGAGGAAGGATCAGGAGCTGGTATTTATGGGGCCAAGCCAAAGACAAGAATCACTGAGCTTAGGCAAATACGCGACGGTGTTTCAGGCAGAAATTATTGCAATACATCATTGCGTGAAAGAATTGATAAGGTAAGAGTTTAAAGGCAAAACCATTGCAATCTATTCAGATAGCCAGGCGGCAATCAAAGCAGTCAACTCTATGCAAGTTAACTCAAAACTAGTATGGGACTTCTTAGAAACCCTTAATGCACTGGGCAGTCAGAACAGATTGACTCTAGCATACCAGCACATACAGGGTACGAGGGCAATGAAGAGGCAGACTCACTTGCCCGAACAGGAGCAAACAAAGCTCTTAATGGCCCAGAACCCTTCTGTGGTATTGCGAAAGCTATACAGAAGACTAGTATCAAATCATGGATGCAAACTAAATCCCAAGAATGGTGGAACAACTCGCCAGGAATGAGACAGGCAAAAGAGTTTATTAAAAAACCATCGCCAACATTCACAGAATATCTACTAAGCCAGAAACGAAGTTCAACTAGAATACTAGTGGGACTTCTCACAGGGCATTGTAGGCTCAACAAACACATGAGTACGGTATGTCTGACTGAAGAACTGCTGTGCAGGTTTTGTCAAGAAGAGGAAGAAACAGCAGTACACATACCTTACCACTGTGACGGCTTGTCAAGACTAAGGTTCCTTACGCTGGGTGAGGAAGAACCAGGAGCCCAGAGATACACAGGAGATCTGAAAGCTAGCCTATGGAGTCTCATAGAGAAGGCGGGGCTAGCCGAAGAACTCTAATCCATTTTGAGGGCAGGCACAATAGATCTGAAAAGGTCGCAGTGTGGAGGCAGATAGCCCGAAGGCCCCATTCCAAATCTAATCTAATCTAATTTAACCCTAATCGTTTTCCCCCAGAGCTCTGTACATTTTTCAAATAATTATTGAAATTCACGAAAAAACGTGTGACGTAATCATCCGAAAAAAGTCGACATACATATCTATTCTCCTTGTCTGTTAGACAAGTGCAAGAATATTTCTGATTGTCATTTCAATCAGAATATGAAAAATTTTCGCCTCCTCAGTAGGCGCTCGCTCGAATACTGATGATGAAAATATCGAGGTTGTCTATGATGATTCATATACAGGGTGTTTCGAAATTCAACCGACAACGCTTGACAGGTGATAGCTCTCGTGATTTCATTATCACTGAGATAGGGACTTCTTCAAGTGTTCAGTTCTCGGGATACAGGGCGTTGAAGTTGAGAAATTGAAATAGTTTATTCGCAATATCTCAAGAAAAATTGAATATAGTGCATTCAAATTCGGTATATGGTTTCATCTTTCAATAGTTAATTTTTTGACCAGAAAGACATTCCCAGAATTTTATCCAGAGGTGCACTACAGAGCGTTGTGATAGCTTTTCCTCCCATATTTTCTACGCCACTGATGAAATTCCGATTATTTCCAAAAAATGCATCAAATTCAACTGAGCTAAAATGAACAGTTATCGAGAAATTGGACCCAAAATAGTAGTTTGCATAGTATTTTTTCATCTTCCTCAGTAGTAGAAAATTACAAAAAAATTTGTTTTCCCTTTATGCGTGGAATAACTATTTCTGTTCAGCTATAGAATGAGATCTGAATAGTATCTAATCTACTCAACACCAGAAAAATATTTTTGCAATTTTGATGAAAATGATGAAATATTACTATGCAATCTTTTTATTTTGAGTCGAATATCTCGACAACTGTTTATTTCAGCTCAGTTGGAGGTGATGCATTTCTTGAACAAAATTGAACAGTGAATTCGAGGAATTGGAAATAATCGAGATTTAATCAGTGGCGTAGAAAATATGGGAGGAAAAGTTGCCACAACCCCTTGTAGGGCACCACTAGATAAAATGACCGAAATGGCTTCCTGGTCAAAAAATGACCCATTCAAAGATGAAATTATATACCAAAGTTGAATGCATTATATTCAATTATTCTCGAGTTATTGCGAAACAACTATATTTATTTCTCAACTTTAACGCCCTGTATCTCGAGAACTGAACACTTGAAGACCATATGTCCCTATCTTAGTGATTATGAAATCACGAGGGCTATCACCAGTCAAGCGTTGTCGGTCGAATTTCGCAACACCCTGTATATCTAATTTGTCACTTCATACTTTTATTACATCAAATCATTCATTTTCGTACCAATTATTTGAAAAAATTCAAATTTTGGCAATGAAAATTTGATAAATCTGGTGAGTCTCGAAGTTGATGAAATCAATTGTTGATATGTAAAATTGACAAAAACACAACTTTTTTGAATGGAACCTACTATTTTTCCATTACCATATAAAAAAAATTGAATTCAGATAGGATATCTCTCAGATTTGTGATCCATAGATTCATTGTGTCTAATAATATATTTATAAAAAAAAATTCAAAACAAACATCTATACTGGACCATGAATATGCAATTGAACCTTAGAGGTTGAAATCAAACATAATCTTAAGATTTCATACTGGTTCGTGGAGGCCTAGTCAACTAATTCTTTCAATAGCTTCTTTTTGTGGGTATAGTGGATTTTTCAAAGGTCTTGATTTAATATTGCAAATTCTTTGGGATTTTCTATCCTTGTTTCTATAAAATGAAAATATTAGTATCATTCAAATATGGGTGTAGTGAGGACAAACCAGAAAGTTTGCCCCAAAATATTACTGCGTTTAAACATTTTCCTATCAAAATTTAGAAAAGAGAAATATAGGTATGTACAAAAAATCTCTATCTTGATATTACCTTCTTCAATGGCAGATGTAATGTGAAAGATCACTATGGGAAGATGTTTCTCTGGTGATTTGAATATTCAAAACATACCAAGGGTCTTGTATATGGGGTTTCGTTTTAGATAATGAAATCATTGCTGGTGTGTCTCGTACTACAAGCTGTAGAGACATTTTTCGAAAATTCTCAATATTGACATTACCTGGTTTATACATATTAGAATTATGTGCATATGCATTTGCTAACCAAGATGGATTTTTGAAAAATGGAAATATTCATTCTTTGAATACTAGACAGAAAATGGATTTTCACATGCCTTCTTGCAAAAATATGTTATCTTAAAATTCACCCACTTCAACAGCCCTTCGTATGTTCAATGTATTGCCCATGGAATTGAAAAGTTGTAAAACCTTAGTAATATTCAGAAATGAGTTGAAATTGTTTTCATTAGAGAAATCTATTTACTGTGTACAGGAAATTTATAAAATGTGATATGTGATTACTAAAGTTCAATATTTGTCCACTTTTTTACCAAGAGTTTTCACTATAAATTTTAATTTTAGATTTAGTATTTTTTTTATCTGATGTCTGACTAGTCCTATACAATTGTGATTGTCTGAAAGGATAATAAAATTCATTATTATTATTAATATTAATATACAATGACAAGGAAAATCGATGACCATTTTGGTTACTTCATTGTGTCTGTCTCTTCAGTCTCTTCATAATGAATTGAGAGAGAGTTCCTTGCAAAGGAATACTGTTTCAAACTATATATCTTTATTTCGAATATTGTATCGATGGTTGAGAAATGGTCACTGAAATTCACTATCATGGCATGAAGTGGAAATGTGAACAAATTCAAAGGCACGCAGAACTTGATTATTTGTGATGTTATATTATTCTGCTGGTCAAAATTCTCAGTGAATTTCGACAGAGAATGTATGGGAAGTACAACTTTTTTTTCTTTTTCAGGGGAAATGGTTATTTCAAGTACAAAACACGATGTTCGAGTGGAGAGCAAATCGGTGTTTCACGTGAAAATGACCGTCATCATTCGAAATCTTCAGAAAGATGATGTCGGCTCATACCGTTGTATAGCCAAAAACTCGCTAGGAGAGGTTGAGAGCAACATCAGACTTTATGGTGAGCTTACATAATATATCCAGGTTTGCACTTGTGGTCGGTCTTTATTTGTATGCTATATCAACATATCAAAAATGGTATTGGCGATAGACTAGACTGGTATAAAAATGAAAACCATGGACGATTGACGATACCTGCGGGGAACATACTATGTGCCTTGCAATTTTAGCCATTGAGGCTTCAAGATATTATGTGCCTTGCATCAGTCAACTCATCAATATTCCCGATTTCTCTTCCATTTTTTTCTGACGGTATTTGCCAATTTTTCAGCTCTACAAAACAGCGTTGAGAGATTGTCCGTACGACGTTTCGTTTCAGAGAATGGACACATTTTATATTGATATCAATGGTCTGATTGTCTATTGGTTCCTCTGAAGCATAATATCACATTATTTACTCGCAAATTTTGCTTTCGCTCGGCTTCGCTAAACGCTCCGCCTCGCAAATGCAAAATTCGCTTGTCAAACAAAGTGTCACTATTGATCCTAATAAAACAATCTACTAATTTTGAGTGAGTGTTCAAGTATTGCGATCGCCCCAAGTTATCCATGAAAATTCTGGCAAGTAAAAAGTTCAATGGATTTTCCATAATCAAATCTTGTGATACGTATAGAGGTGATGTGGAGTATATTTTATTATCAAATCGAAAGTAATTTTGCTCAAGATATGTCACCTACTCATACTCTTGAATACATTGTTAGGGAGTATTTTACATTGTGTCTTTTCAATTCTTGAATCCACTTATTCACCCAATTACATTCCAGGTTAGCAGTTTCCCAATTCTCTTGAAGTCCATTTAAAGTTCTCGCATTGCTCCTCATATATAGAAGCGTATTCAGTTATCCGGGCTGTCAACTATCTTTACAGTTTTATAAATACTTCATTATCTCTATACGTGACGAGTCCTACCCACCTCTTGGAGCCATGAACATTGCTTGCGGTAAAATCATTCTTTTTATTGCCCTCTAAAAACTTAGACTTTATTAAAGAGAAACTTGAAGAGACTTTTTCGGGCATTGGGGATGAGAACAAGACAAAGCGGTATGAAAAGAGTTTTATATGAGAAATGCAGTAAAAGGAGAAATGGAAAATAAATAAAAAAAGTCGGGATGATTCGTAATAATTTTATAGCGTTTCATATTTTTGCAAATGAATAAAGCAGCATTTGACGCGTTATCAGATGCAGGATAGTAGAACCTATATTTAGTTTGGAGCTCCACTTTATGCTTCGGATGAAATAACAGTAGATTGTTTCATTAGGATGGGTAATGTTTGACAAACGAATTTTGAATTTGTGATGCAAAGTGATAAAACAAACCCGTAGAAAAGCCGGCGTATTCGATTTTCACTGAATCAGAAAGAAAGCTGGTGCTCATTGCCTCTCCCTAGTTTGTCAAATTCATTGGTAGGTTTTCTTAGTATTTTTGCTCTACCGCACTTACGGATTGGTGAATTTCAGCCACCAAAGTGTTGAAGTACATAAATAAATACTAAAAGTTCTAATCGAATGCAAATAACTTGCAATGGGTGAGTGAACTGATAATGATTTATTGGCGTTCAATTACTTCACACTATGTCGTTAGGAACCAAAATTAATTTTTGCAACACTTCTCGCGCTTTCTTTAGGTGAATAATAAGTCGTTGTACGAAATTGTTGAATTCCCGAGCTCATTTCAAACAAACCTTCATTTCCGCCATTTGGCAAAACGTTCACGATACGTCGAATAAATGGTGACGACAGTTTCGGTGCTGTTTCGTTATTGGTCAGATAATCTTCCATTTCAACTCATGAGGCAAGATTGTCTAGACATCAATTATAATCGAGTTATCAAGAAGATGTTAGAGTCATGTGGTCGAATAAAACATAACAGAAGGAACCCATGATATTATAGTTGATTCTTGAATTTTTCGGGCAACCAGCATGCCCAACGGTGTTCCAGAGAAGTGAGTGAGTTTGTGAGCGAGACGTCACCCACAAGACGAATTGCCCTTTCTTGGACCGAATCCAACAGTTTTGGGGTATGTTTGGGTGCTGCACTCTAAATATGGGAACAGTATTCCAGGACAGGTCGGATCTGTGCGCCGTATAGATCATAAGCAGCTGACTGGAGGTGAAATAGCTCCTGGCCCGAAACAGAAAACCAAGTTTTTGGGATGCACTTTTAGCAATTGATCTCACGTGATTCTCCCAAGAAAGGTTATTACTGATAGTGATACCAAGCATCGAAATGGATGTCTTCCAAGGTATGGTTACTCCTGAAATGCTTATGTTGGGCACAGTGAGATCGGCTTTTCTAGAGAAAAGGCATGCTTGTGTTTTGTTTGCATTAAAATCTACCAAGTTATCAGATCCCCATTCGAGAATTGTTACCAATTCCATATTTATGTTGTCAACATTTCTTCCTCGTTCGTTTCTGATCTGCCTGGCTGGTATTGGAGCCCTGGAAGAGTAGGCGGTATGGAGGGTACTATCATCCGCGAAGCTGTGTACTGGACATGAAGTTGCTTCCAACAAATCGCTGATATAGAGTTGAAATAGTGTTGGTGCTAGAGTTGATCCTTGCGGAACACCAGCATTTATTGTGAGAGAGTCAGATGAAACCCCATCGACCACTACATGGAGAGACCTGTTTGAGAGAAAACTAGCTAGCAGAGAACATAGCTGGCGAGACAAGCCATAGGATGGAAGCTTGGCGAGAAGTCCGTGGTGTCAGATTCGATCGAATGCCTTGGAGATATCAAGTGCCACGGCTAAGGAGTCACCATATTTCCCAATAGATTGCTGCCATATATTATTATGTGAGACGTAAGCGAGCAGGTCATCAGTTGATCTCTGATGACGGAAGCCATATTGCCTATCGTTGATAATACCTGAATGTTCCAGGTATTTCATGAGCTCGATGTTTATAGCTTTCATCATGATCTTTGAAATAAAAGATAGCAGTGCGATCGGTCTGTAATTGCTAGGTGGGGTATTTTTGCCTTGTTCAGGAACTGGTTGTACTCTTACGATTTTCCAGTTGGACGGGAATATCCCCAATGTGTAAGAGTAGTTGAATAACTTGCAGGGAACAGGTGTTAGTTCGGGAGCATATTTCTTGAGAACAATCGATGGGATTCCGTTAGAGCCATAAGCTTTGTTGGTGTTGAGACCCAATAAAATCTTCCTTTCAGTACGTTGGCGAAAGGTGGTCTCGGGCATATGACTGTCAATTGGCGTTATGTTTGGAGGTAATTTTCCCTATGAATCCAGAGTGGAATTTCCAGCAAATAAATGCGAAAAAATGTTGGTTTCCTCCTGGGCAGTTGTGGCTAGTGTTCCATCTTCCATGGTTAGTGGAGGAAACGAGCTAGAAGTGAAGTTTCTTCCTACAGCTTTGGCTAAGGACCAAAATGAACGGGATCCGTTAGGACATTCAACAAACTTCGATCTTATTTTGGCATTATGAGCATCCCTTGATGATCGAATTGTATCATTGCATATGCCTCCAGTCTATTATCACAACAGCTAATTTCATTAGGTCTCACGTCTCATCACTCTCAAGTTGTTGGCAATTCCTTCCACTCTAGGCGCTATATCTAGGAGTTTGAGATTATTAAATCATCAGTGATGAACAATGCCAACAAGCCTCCCGATTCCATCTGAAACTCATTAAAAAAGCACAATATTTAATGTGTCGCCGTCACTCCATCCCAGCATAAGGCGCACTAAACTCGATGCATATCTTTTAACGAATGAAAAGCAGGTCGGGGTGATGAAAGACCCCTTTTTATGACCCCGAGCCGTGAAATTGAGTTCTCGAAAAGTGTACGAGCCCACGTCTGTTTATCATAATGTTTATACCTGGGCCTCGCAGGGAGAAGATGCCTCTGGGGCTTCGTGCGGCTTCTTATTTAAACAGATAAACTGGAACAGCCGAGATTATATGGGGGTTGCTGAGCGATAATAATGTGGTGGCTTTGCTCCGGCGAAACAGTGAACGTCGAATGCAAATCAACCCGAAGATATTGTTTCATTTCCCTTTTTTCTCCATTCGTAACACATGCTTTCATTGTGTTCAACGGATAAATTATGAGTATAATCCTCAGCGAATTATTCTTCTAGAGTTGAGATAACATCAGATAAGATCAGAATGGGGCCTTCAAGATTTTTGTCACCACACCGCGACCTTTTCAGATCCATTGTGTTTACCCTCTAAATTGTTTACAGTTCTTGATAGACCCGACTTCTCTAGCTGTCAGATCATTAGAGCCTAGCCATAGCACCACTATCCGGGATATATTGCCACGGTGGCAAGTCAAGAGCATATAAAATTGTTTTGTACTTTGTTTTGCAAATCATTTTGACTAGCCCCGCCTTCTCTATGAGACTCTTTGGGCTAGCTTTCAGCTCCACTGTGTATCTTTGAGCCTGGCTACATAAAAAAGTTCATCATCGAAATTCCTTTGAAAGGCATTTATAAACGAAGTAGGCTCAAAGTAATCATCCGCAGAGTGGCCAAGTAAATGCCAGATTATTAATAAAAAAAATCAATTAGTTTAAAATCATTCCAAACATCGGGATCCTCTTTGTGCCAGTAATCTCAGAGGTCAAATTGAATAGATTTTTTGCAAGATGATTTATGATAAAATTCCATTAGGTTAGAAACTTCGATTATAAAAACATTGGAATCGTCTTTTTATACTTCATTTCAAATTCTGTCCGAGATCACTTCGATCAAACTAGTTGCTGAAATGCTCAAATTTATGACCAAATTTCAGTATAAAAGCAGTAAAATCTAGAAAATATTGTAAGTTATTGAGTATCAGTAATCCAGTCAGTATTCAGATTCAGTTATTCAGTCTTGATCACTCCACTCCAAAGTGAGCTGTATCTAGCCCTCTTTTTAGTTGCACTTATTCAGGATTTAATGCATTGGCCTTACCAAGTATCAGCATAGTTTAAGTGTAGTATATCTAGCGATCGACCTGTACACTTTTGGTATCGATACCAGAGGGAGAGCTGGGTAAGTTTCCCATGCCATGCCATTCCACCAAGTTATCATGGTTTCATCTGCGATAGTCATCACTTGCTGTTCATAAATCACTGCTTGAATTCATCTGAATTAACCACCATTTACCACCATATGAAGTGAACCAACCTCAAGCAACAATAAAGAAATATTGTATTTTTACACTTACCCCCTGAGTTTTATTATTCACATACAAAATCATTGTTTTTAGTGCCTCCTTTTCAGGGACTGAGCAAACAACGTTATAAACTGTAGAGAAATTTCCGATGTTTTACGAATATTCCATCGAAAGGAATAATACATTTAAAACAAATATCAGCAACAAATCGGAAGTTGAGGTATGTTTAATCATATTGAGTATTGAGGTATTTGAGGTTAGAATTGAATTAAGCGGTATGATTCATATGCGTTACATTTGTCTTGAAGCAATCCGTATACCTATAATATGGTATGTTCTTTTGAAGTTGACGGAATATGTGATGGCTGTTTCACACCGACAAGTTTTTCTTGAATGTCTTCATGAATTAATTCAAGGTTTTCTTCGTGGAGCTGGTCTTAAACTTGGTGAATATTCGTCTTCGTTGCCCTCATACATTATTTGTGCTGCTGAGTATTTTCTGAAATATCATCATTGTTTGTGACGTTTCCTTTTTTTTTCATTTCAGAAATACCTGGACCTACGCGTGTCTATGGCTTATCACTGGACGAAGAGGATTACAACGAGGTATTTGGGTCTGCCGAGGATGAGCAAGATGAAGAAATCTCCAACAGCGTCATGGAAAGGTCGAAGTTTTCCACTGTGGAAACGCCATCTAGGTAAGAAGATTTATAGATATCTGAAATCTACCGGTGGACTATCAGTGCTTGATATCGTTAGAATGAGGGCGTCTTCGCAGTTAGAAGACTATGCAACTTCTGAATTTTTCTAACCAAGTTGTATCAATAATCATTCGCTTTCATGGTAAAGCTCTAAGTGGCAAAGCTCTGAGCCACTAGATGGCTACAACATGACTAGAACTTCATGTTATACCCTGCGTCTTCGAAATCACCCCGAAGCGTAGAGTTGTCCCACTTCTCACTTAGTTATGAGATCTAGCAGTTGAATAGGTCGGTGGAAAAATTCACTCAAGTATGTCAGGTAGTGCCATCTATCAGCAAAGTGGTTTACTTGTAGTACCACTCTGTAGCGTATGGACGTAAGGGTCTGTACGTGAGACTATAGATGGCAGCGCCATACAGTGTGTGTCGCGATCTCTTGTTCCTACCTTAGAGCTTTGCCACTGGATGGCTACAACAAGACTAGAACTTCATGTTATACCCTGCGTCTTCGAAATGGGTGATATACCCGAAGCGTAGAGTTGTCCCAGTTGTCAGCAGACCGAGAGCGGCTGATGAGACCTGGTGGGTCGAAACAGAACTGTCGCGCTCCTGCTGACAAATGGGGCAGCTCTTTGCATCCTGGATCTCTTAGTTATGACACAGATTAACAAGACTTATGACATCTAGCAGTTGAATAGGTCGGTGGAAAAATCCACTCAAGTATGTCTGGTAGTGTGATCTGTCATCAGATTGGTTACTTGTAGTACCACTCTGTAGCGTATAGACGTAAGGGTCTGTACGTGTGACTATAGATGGCAACGCCCTACAGTGTGTGTCGCGATCTTTTGATCCTACCTTAGAGCTTTGCCACTGGATGGCTACAACAAGACTAGAACTTCATGTTATACCCTGCGTCTTCGAAATGGGTGATATACCCGAAGCGTAGAGTTGTCCCAGTTGTCAGCAGACCGAGAGCGGCTGATGAGACCTGGTGGGTCGAAACAGAACTGTCGCGCTCCTGCTGACAAATGGGGCAGCTCTGTGCATCCTGGATCTCTTAGTTATGACACAGATTAACAAACCTTATGAGATCTAGCAGTTGAATAGGTCGGTAGAAAAATCCACTCAAGTATGTCTGGTAGTGTGATTTGTCGTACCACTCTGTACCACTCTGTAGCGTATAGACGAAAGGGTCTGTACGTGTGACTATAGATGGCAACGCCATACAGTGTGTGTCGCGATCTCTTGTTCCTACCTTAGAGCTTTGCCACTAGATGGCTACAACTACAACATGACTAGAACTTCATGTATTACCCTGCCAATTTTGGTAATATTGAAAATGATCTTTGAGATGGAGGAAAATTAACTTCCTATTTGTCATTAACATCATTTCCATGCACAACTTCGTAAGTAACATTATCATTTAATTTCTGCTTATTTTTTTCATTACAGGGCCAACTACGTAGATAACCAGAGTATGCCGAGCAGCAAAGAGACTGACTCTTCGTCCGATTTCTCATCGTCTCGATCATCTCTTGTTTTCACGGCCGTTCTTCTTTTGTTCTCTTGTCGTACTTTGATATGACGACTGGCCGGTAACGAAGCGTTTTTGTAGTGACAATAATATTGTTCCTTATACAATTTGTAAAGATAAATAGTCTTCTGAGCTCTGAGCGTGTGTCACGACCAAAAAGGAACAGACAATTCTCCCGGAGTTCTATTGTTTCTGGATCTTCGTTTGTCTTGTTCAGTTCGGTGTCATGTAGGGTTGATGCATTCATTTAAACACGATGTATGACTATTTGTTTGGACTGATGAATTTGATGTCATGAATCAATTAAGGAATGTCTTGGATATAGGAGAACACTGACCCAAAAACAACAAATGGAACGACACTTTTCCTCCTAATCGCAGCCGGCTTTATAAACAAGCTATGATGAGAGAAATGCAACCGCGCTAACGTAACGTCAATTTCTGGCTTCGAAATAATTGAACATCAAACTACACCGAGGGAAATATCTATTAGCTGTTAAACTGTATAACCTTCAAAAGATTTCTGAATTGTATAGGCGCCAGTATAGTTCCCTTTTCCCTGTAATCAAGTCCATGATTTCGAAAAAATTATATAACTGTGACACAACACTGCCTATATGAGAATGACATGACGCTCATATTGAATAGTGATATCATGAAAATGAAATAATACTCATACCAATGATATTTGCTTTCAATTTGATAGTCAAATGATTGGCATTATTTCAGTATATTAGGATGATTAACTTTTTCCCAGAAGAATGATGAGGGTTGAAGGTGTCGAGAAAAATTTGAGACATATAAATAAATAAATAATGATATACTTACCCCATGTACAGTTTTTTATTGTAACTACAGGACATTGAAATGCATCACAAGGCCGAGATACTCAGTACACAATATCTCAATTTGCTGATTGAAATGCTTTCAATTTGGAGCATTTCTTCTTCTTGTCATTACTTTGGATTATAAGTTATTCACACGGTGAACCTTCATTTCTTCTGATGAATTGTTGGCTAAATATCTTATGACTATCGATACGATAACATCCTGTATTTCCAATACAATCTATCACCAATATAACTGTGTACATCTAAGATTTCGCTTCTATAGTGAATATATCAGGTATCGGTAGACGACTAACGATTCTGATGAGACAAGTGTGTTCATAAGTGAGTGAGATGGCTCATTGTGGTAAACGAGTATGACAAAGATGGTAAATGAAGAAGAGATGGAACTCAAATGATACTTGTATAACTGTGAAATTAAATCTTTCAGGATTTAGATGAGTATCTTTTAAACTTCATCTTTTAACTATAATCTTGTTCCATTTCATAAGGTAACCTATTCAGAACAAAAAGGGTGATTTGAAAAGGTGACCTGTTTTGCATTGAAAACGTTGACTTTTCACGTTCATCAGATGACATTTCGTGGTTAAAATATTCCATTTAGCAGTTATAGGATGATTTTGAATAGATACTTGTATAACTGGATTTTTCTCGGAGTACAATGAGAAAATTGCAAGGAATAATGGATTAGGTCACATGTCAGGTATTATTCAGTTTCTCAAATATAATAAACAACTGGCAAGTCCAATTTTACATCGACAACTCAAGTTCACGAAATGCTAGGCAAGATCTCACCTAGGTAAGGAAGAATCCACTTTAAATCATCGAATTCCAGCTCATTATCACCTAGTTGAACTTGAACCTGCACCTCATTGCAACCTAATTGATAAAAATAAATATTATACTTTTTGCCTTATGGACTTATGACTGCTCGTGATTGAGAATCAAGTGGGATTTTTCAAAATCAACTTTTTTTTATTTTGAACAGCTATAATTAGTTCTGACGTATTTCATCTAGATTCGTTCCCAATGATGTAGTAGGTTTAGAAAGATAACTTGGTGAATTTAGAAAAATTGAGGGAACTGCTGTTTCAACTAACTGCGGGTATCTTGGCAAATTTTTCCGAATTGATTCATCAGGAAGAGAATATGTTATTATATCTAATATTATCGGCTCAAACGAAATGAATCGCACACCCTGCAGAATGTTGATATGGTGTTCAATATTTACGAGGTATTGCAGAGTACACATTGATTCGACATCTTGTTATAAGAAACGTTGATATTAGGTACTAACTCTGCTTTCACAAACAAAAGTACATCATTAATCTCAGGTAGAAGTCCATGATTGCCCAAAGTGGAGTGAAATTTCACAAGAGGAAGAAGGAAAGCTCGAAGTCATCTCCACTACTTATAAAAGCTCATCTTCAGCTGTTTTTAGATGTTGTTGGAAGTGAACATTATTTTTAAAATGAGTGCCAACGTCTATCATCATAATATCGTTGTTCTGTTAATAAATGAGGAGGTTAAGGAAAAACGGGTTCAAAATGAAGGGCTCCGTGCCATAAAAAAGCACGAAGTGAGGATTCTATTTATTTCACCAACAGCCGTTTCCAATAAGTGTTCGTTTGTTTGATCGAGTTTGATCTGGCCTGAGTATAATCTGGTCTGAGCCTGATCTGGTCTGAGTCTGGTCTGATAGCAGTCTGATCTGGACTAATCAGGTCCTAATCAGGTTTCGACACCCTGTTTTCAAGTAAGTGACACGTGCATGGGAACTTCTAAGTGGAGAACTGCAGTCTTATAGATAATACATAAAGGATAACACGATAATTAAATGCTTCAAAGTTCTTCACTACTTTTATTTCCCCTTGTTACAACCATGAATGATGAATGGACAACTGAGACAACGCCCATTCCTTTCTGTCAACTTCGCTTGTTAAGTGTCAATGTCAAAATGTCAGAGAAATCAGACAATCATTCGTCATGTCAGAAGAACAGGGTCGTATTCAGTTTCGACCTTAGATCATAAAGATCTATATGGGTTCGATGAAAGATGAAAAGTATAAATCCTTCCATTTGTTGTTTATCGGTCAGTGAAGGAGAACTGTTTGTTTCTGTTTCTTCTCATCGGTCGCGAGCAGTGGTTCCCAATCGTAGAGGAAAAAAATGTGTATGGCGATGTATAGATAAATGTGATCCAAGACCATACAGTATGTTGCCTTATAAGTATTGGTGAATATGTCGAATAGTTGATGGTTATTCAAATTAGATGGAAGTTTCGAGAATATCAATAGTTTTGTCGTGAAATATGTACCCAGTCTGCCTCACTTCTATCAGAAGAGAAATCAGTCGGAGAACTTTGTTCGTTCACACTGTTTTTTTTTTGTTTCATCACAACATTCTGGAACTGATTCAACTAATTATGATATAGCGTTCAATCACAGGTGTAATCAACAAGATCAAATTGACTTATTCCTGACGTCATCACAAAAGAGAACTCTTCAACCAAGTTTTAATTCATAAAATCGGTAGGTAGGTACCTATCATTCCTTGTTTGGGGAAGTGTTCCACCATAAGTTTATGTGATCCTAGACTCACTCCAAACCATGAATCAGATCAGTAATTTGAGTTCTCCCTATTCGAATAGGTAGGTTGTATGTACGTGTTTCCGTGACATAAAGTCAATGTCATGAATGTCAGTTTGAATCCTTGCGCAGAACCGTTTTCAGGCGAGCTATTTGGATGAGATTTTCAGGTTGTTAGCAAAAGATGGTGTAACCACTCTTCAATTATTTTATTTTTTGAAACATGTAGACCTCTTGATTTTCTCGAAACTTTCCATGAATGTTATGTTCATTTGAATTTTATACTTTATAGAACTGATTGAAATGAGTTGTAACAGTCATAGGGTTATTTGCAAGAGATTAGTGGAAAATACAATCAAATTAATTTTCAACAAGGCAAGGTGATGCAAATTCGTGGCTGAGCATGGAAATTTTAGTAACCCTCAGAGATACAGAGTGGGTTTAATCTGGGCAAAATTTCACCATTTTAGGCTCAACAAAATGCTGCTTCGAAATTGGAAAGAATTCTATTATTTCCGGAGATATCCGGAAAAAGGAGAATATGCAAAATCGGTTTTATTTCTTACTCAGTTTATTCGAAGAGATATTCCGAAGTGAATGTCTTTTTATTATTACCACTTTTCCTCATCTACAAAACATCTACAAATTGGGTATCCGATGTTTCTTCTTTGAGCGACCATCATCAACTTATTCATTTTGAATACGGACCTGGATTTCATATATCATTTTTCGATAGTTCTCGATCTCCTTGATATGATGGTGTATCAAAGATATGTCTTAAAATGTTTACTTCAATGAAAAAATATTTATAAAAGGACGGAGATACTCATCTTTTCCTAACACAGCGATTCTGGTATTAATTTGTCTTTGTCTAACAAATCATTCAGTAAAAATAATTCTGAATGCATTATCCTTTTTACTAAACCAAAAATTAATTGATTAAGCAATTGTTTATTATTTAATGGAATGACATTTATGAATCATAAAAACACAATTTAATCAAAATTCAAAAATATCGATTACTGAGTTCCTAATGCTTGGTCACGAATTTGTAACACCCTGTATTTTCTTCTGGCATTATTTGTCTCTTATGAAATTTGAAAAACATGGAAATGTATTGTATAGATATGATATTGGAATGAATTATCCATTTAGTTCTGGAATATGTTGGAACGATTATAATCTAGGTCTTAGGTTGTTGAAATTATTAGGTAATCAAAGATGAATTTATTGTAAAATAGGTGGATAAAATTTGCTTGAGTGAAACTGTAACAATACTCTCCTTCATGAATGTATCTATCAAACTTGTCCTGTCAGCAATACGAAAAATTTTAAAATCCTCTGAGATATGCGATTTACAACTTCATACTTCATGTTACTGGTATACTTATATGTAATGGTGAATAGGCAGAGTATCAGCAAGAAGCAACCCAGATAGAGACCAGAGGATGAAAATGATTCAATGACATGGTAAATTGAATTATTGTTTGATTCCTAATTCATTCTTATTGATGAAAGCCACAGAATCAATTATTGAATCATCGTCAAATGTGTTCAAAGTTTTCGTTATCAGCTGAAAAATACACCCTGTACTAAATTATGTACTGAACTATAATATGTTTATGATGACCATATGTGCATCAAGATACAAATCATGGCAAAATTTCAAAACGCTTTGGATAGGATGATGAGACTCTGAATGAATATGTATCAACCATCTTTGTCGATAAGAAAATTTTTCTTCGACAAAAAAGTATATTTTTGAGTGATTGATTGATTGGTATAGGTACGTATATACTCAATTAAAATTATTTCAAAATATTTGAATATACAAGGTCCTCTTGGTCTATAGTCTACTCAAGGAATGGGGAAGTTTCTTATATTGAGGTTCTTATCTCATTGTGAAGTTTGTAAAACATTAGTATATACTTTTTTCTTTTTTTCGTGAAATCAAATTTCTCTTCAGATAAAAATTAATAAAAGAGGAACTTGGCTCCTCCACCATTCCTATGACTTACTTTCTGAAAATCCACATTCACACAGAGTTAAAATACGATTCCCTG